GAGGAGGAGGAGGAGGACAGTGGAGGAGGAGGAGGAGGACAGTGGAGGAGCAGGAGGAGGACAGTGAATGTAAATTGGGAATAGCTGCAGGAAGTTTGTGTAAAATGAGTGATTTTAACATTTTTCCTGTGAATATTGATCAGAGATAGGTTTCCCAGATATATTAAGGGACCGGTCTTTAAAGTTTAGATCTTAAATAAAATCACAATTTATTATAGTTTTCTTCACAGAAATGGACAAACAGCTGAGATATAGGCCCACTTATTTTTAAAGTTTTCTTACACCCCTAAAAAAAATCAATTAATCATTAAGCTAATTAATAATGGATAGTATCCTTTAAAAACACAACTAAAATGGGAGCTACTGATTAAATCCCCTCTCAGATTACTATGGGACCCGGTGAGAGCCTGTCAGGGACCCTGGAGGTCTTAATTTACTATTATTCTAAAATCCACTTTGCATTATAGAAGGCTGCATTCATTATAAATCACAATTAACACATTAAGATCTTTACTATTTGTTAAATCCCCTGTAATACTGACATTAATGTAGCAGCATTATAGTCTCCCACTGAACCGAGACAACACACACATCCAATTCCAGTGATTTTCCAACCTATGCTGTTTGCAGTGCAGCAGCGCTAATTGGATCTAATTAACGTGTCTCGCGTTTCACCAGATGAGGGCGCCAGTGTATAATCATCCCCTGCGAGCAGCATCCTTGTGTAATCCGGACGCTGATGCCGGTGCACCGTTGCGTGCTGCAGCTCCACACAATGCCGCGATTAACCAGTGCATTGATGCAGCTGGTCTTTCTACTGTCGCCGGTAACATTTCATACAAAGTGCTTTATAGATGAAGCGAGGGCAGATTGGGAGCGCAGTGGTCGCTGCGGCCTGTACGGCGCAGGCTTTATAGTGGGGGAGAAAATCCACATGGGTCGCTCCGACAAGACACACTGCCTACAATCAGGAGGCATTGCAACATGAGTGTGTGGTTGCAGCTGCTGCCTTTAAACTGGATTTCACAGCCAAAATGAATCAGACCCCCAAGACAAAGAGATCCCATAGAAGTATAAATGGCTGCATATATATAACGGAGACACCATGTGGATGAGACGCCAGCTCGCTTTTAATTGAGTGATAACACGCGCCTGCTCCTATACACTAAAATATATCCCCGTGTGTTTTTGTGTGGCTATAAATACATGTAGATGAAGTGGATGAGTGGATTTTCTGGATAAAAGTGTGCGCACAGTGGCTCCGCTCCTCACTTGTGCGCCTCATTATTGCCGCGTCCAGGGCTCAGCGCGTGTAATGGGAAGCACTACCTCCCTCCTTCATGCGTAAATTATGTAGGGCAGGACGGGAATGCTGTGCTACCTCCATTTGAGAAAACCCGGCCGGTGAATGTGTGAGGGGGGGGAGGAAAAAAAGGAAAAAGAAATCACAAAAGCCAACCTTGTCTTCGAGCAGCGTTTGACTGAAGCGCAGTAGCGCATCACGACTTGTCTATTGTGAAGCCAAGGAGAAGAAAAGATGGACATCACGGATCAAGGAGCTCAAATGGAGCCGCTCTTACCAACGGTAAGACCAAATAGACACGCTATTGTTGTGTTCAATTTCATCTGTTGTTAGCTGTGGATCTTACACAAAGCGGAGTGGACTGCTGCTCATCATCTTAATTTCTCTTTAGAATAAAGCAGGCACAGTTGTAATGAAACGTCCCACCACTGTAGGATTCATATTCAATACATCTGTATTTCAAAATGACCCATATCTATATTTTCACTGCTTTACTGCTTGTGTGTCGTCATTTCATGACAAACATGGATGTTGCGCACCATAAATTGAAAAAGGACATGTTTTCACCGTGTGCACGATTTATATTTGAGCACCTTTTTTTTTTTACCTCTTTCACTACAAACGCCTACACCTTCAAACAGAAGACATCTGTGAGTCACTGCACGGGTTAATACAATGTTACACAGCACATATGTGTGCACACAGTTATGTATTTGCGCCCCACTACCTGCATGGAAAAGGCTCCTTCATATGTTGCCTTCCAGCCAAATCATATGGTCTACCAGTCGACCCAGTTTTCGTAGTGTTTATGAAACCTGCTGTCAAGCTGTTGCTTTAGGTATACAGTACTGCTGGCATAAGATGTTGCACTGAGATGAGAGGATCAAGTGTTTGATCCTAACAGTGAGGAGACACAGGGAGGTATATGCCTCATCAGTTGGATGTAACAAGCTTGCTGTCTTTCCATCTTTCCATAAGAGGCTTCACGGGATTATTACCCCATTTGGCCTATTTGTACTCATTTTGAGAGCATATGCACAGAAATTCATTAAAAAAAATTAAAAAAAGTAATCGGATTCTTTCACATGTGATAGTCCTGTACCCGCAGGAGCTCTTGAAATCACCATCCATCGACCTGAGAGACAGAGAAATTCTACACAAGCATCCCAAAGTCTTATTTATTTCACTGAGATATATTCTCTCCAGTGTGGGTTCAGGTTGTATCACATATTGGTGGATTACAAGAGGAAACAAACAGGTCCAATATGTGTGTGTGACTCAGGTCAGAGCCCAGTGAACCCGCTGGCAGAATATCAAACGAGCATGTCTCCAACGTAACACATTTGGCCACTTGAAGGCAGAGCTTACTCCTGCAGGTCAGCCTCCCCTCATCAGCATTCAGGTGAGACTCTGCCGAGAAGGTGAAAAAAGAAAAAATGTCGGCTGCCTTGGATGCACAGTTAACGCCGGAGGAGAGAGATGATGTTTAAAAGCAACGATTGCTCTGAAGGCAAATCAATACTCAGCTTGTTTGTCCTATTTTGTGGACGTGTGACATGAGGACTTCGTTTTCCAGAGCTCGCGGCGTACGTACAGTGAAGCCTGATGTGGCGTGGGATGTCTGTTCTGTTTCCCCTGCAGTCTCAATGCAGTGTGCTTTCTTTCCTGTTGTTGTAACTCATGGCTGCTTCCCCCGTCCCTCCCCGCCTACACGGCAAGCAAATGCGTTGTCATGGTTTCACCAGGATGTGTATGGGTATGTGAGGTGTTAGCATGGTGAGAATCTCAGGGACTCCTCACTATGTGACAACCAAAACATGACTAGAACAAAATATCCAATTGTAGCCCGTTCTGCTAGGTTACCAGGTTCCCAAGGTCAAGCACGAGAGTGTGTTTAATTTACAGCAGGAAGGGCTGTTTCTGAAAGCATCATTGCTACTGCCATATCTCTCGTTGTTTTGAGTTGGGACAAGTTTACTACATGTTCAGGAATTTCTAAACGGAGCATCTGGTGTGACAGTAAAGTATCCACATGCCTTGCTTTTGTCCCATTGACTGATCTCTTGTTGTTCTCTGACTTGCAGGAACAAAGTTCCCAAGAAAACAAAGATGTGGTGAGTACAGATCTCAGTCATGTCAATGTCATATTGATTTGCTCTGTAACAACAATGATAACTCAATTTGATGCACTCGTTAAAGACTAGTTTTAAAACACAGGGTTAGAATCTGAAAATCAATAGTAAAAGTAATAAAATGAGAAATGTGAAGGTCAAGGCACGAATAATAAAACGGGAGGTCACAAGAAATGTACTGTTGTTACATGAAAGCAAGTCTGTAAAGAGTTGTAAGAAGAGCTGTGGTTGAAGGTAATTAATTACATTTACTCTTTATTTCACAGTTATTAGATTTGTTGCAGATTTTACACAGAGAACATTCGATACGCCTATAAAATTTGTATCGGTAATCATTAATATTTCGGGCTGAACTGCAACAAGCGGGGCCAGCCGTATGAACATGAAAGTCTGTGGTTGTGTGATGGAGTTATACCATTGCCACTGTCTGTATCCGTTTCAAATATAAAACCTTTGTTTCAAATTAAAAGCCCTCTAGCATGTCATACATGGTCAGCCATGTACGAGGTTTTGACCTAGTCAATTAATAACGAATCATAATCAAGGTTATTTTATTGTCATTTACAACACAGGGTTGTATTTCAGATTGTAGTTCCCTTTATACTCCTTCTTTCTAAAGTTTCCTTAAGATATAGTTGTTTCTGTGCTTTCTTAACCAGCTCACTTTTTTTTTTGCAAAAGGAGCAAGCAGCTGCTTTTGTTAGAAAATGCTATAATTATTATATTATTACAGCTGGTAAGCATAGCAGCTAGCATGTAGCAGCTGAAGGGCCAAATATTTCCTTCGTGGAGAGCAAAAGTGTGTGGCATTAATTTCCGAGGACGTGCAGAACTAACGGTCCAAATGGATGCAAGATATGTGAGGCAGCCATAACTGGCAAGCAAACGCGTAGTTCAAAGCAAAAGTATATCTCTGGCCTTGCAAAGAAAAAAAGCGGAGTCTTGGGCCCCGTTGACATATTTTGCTGTCTATGAGCTGTTGGCACTTCCACTGAGGATGCACTTCTCCTCTTAACATCTCCGATGGTCTTATTTAAACAGTTTGAGGCACAAAGAGGTCAAATTATCCAGTATTTCACAATGAAGGCAACAATGAGAGAAAACTGCAAAAAATGAAAATACATTTGTCTTGCTAAATTTAGTTTTTTCTTCCCTCCTCTCCCAAGAATCATATCCCAACCCCTCAGATTTGGACTTAACTACCTGACTGTATATAAAGTAGTAAAAACTAGCTCATACATTCAATAATGTCATTCATAATAATGTATCAATCACAGGGGACATTTTATTTCAGAATGAGTACTTTTACTTTTGATATTTGAAGTACATTTTGTTGATACTAACTCACTTGTAATGGAGTATTTTTAAAATGTTGTATTGGTACTTTGACTTAAATCAAGTGAATACTTCTTCTACCTCTGAGCAAGCAATTGAAAGGTTAAAAAGTGAAAGATTAGGCAGATTTCAGGCAGTGACAGGCTGTTATATTGTCCCGATGGCTCTGTGATCACATTTTGCTGTTAATCCATGTTTTCTATAAACTATAATCTACAGTAATATTACAGAGCTGTATTTGGCTTCTATCTATAATTAGCCAGCTTGTTTAGCAGATGTTATGTTTTTTTAGATCACAATAGTTACACATGTCACTATGCATCTGGCAGCCATGCAAGGCTGAGAACACGCTGGTTGATAATTAATAATAGATAATGGGAATTAAGTGAAATGGCTTTGAAGAGCTAACAGGATAGAAGTGTAAGCAGACAACTGTAGAGGAGAGTTTTCATGTATCATGCTTGTCTTCTGCTCTGACAAAATATTTCTTATGCAACTGTGGGCTGTGAGCCAGACTGAGGACAAAGTGTCTGCCAGTGGCCAAACTGGATTTCTACATTCCTAATTATTAGGAGGACGCAGGGATATTTTTCACCTTTTTTGTTCGATCACTGCAGTGCAAGTAACCCTTGCTTTCCGTAGTAGGAGGTTGAAATTTAAAGGTAGATTCAGGGTAAGAATGGTGGGTGAATTAAATGTACAATAACAGGTACAAATATAAAGGTAATGGTGCATTTTGTGATACATGAGTTATGAGTTTAATTGTCTAAGCAAAAATGGGGTAAAGCTGATGTTACCATGTTGCTGTGTCATAAATAGATTATCTCAAATCTTAGTATTTGGATAAATCTCATTACTCCTCGAATGAAAACCACATTTTATAGGACATAAAGCTGCTCATTGACGAGTAAAGAAGTCTGTTTACTGGCTCTAGGAGGGAAGTATAGATCTATAGATAGAATATTTTGTGTAACCTTTAGCAATTTTATAACAAAACAAAAAGCTTTCTGATGTCTTGCTCCAGAAACAGACTTACTCACACTTATTCACTTTCGTTGCCAGCAGTCAGGTGAGGAGATCGATACCACTCTCATGTCTTGAGAGCTTTTGGCTTGGACAGCTTAAACTGGTTCTCTGACAGTTTTTCCTCTTTTTGCACCCGGTTTGGACTTGTTTACTATGTTTGGATTCGTCATAACATATCTGCTGCTCTAATAAATGTGTAGTTTGATTGATTTTTATTTCAATTTTGCATCAGTACGAAAAGTGTAGGGAACTGACCTGTAGGAATTTTATTTTTGGCGTGCCTCATCTGTTACCACTCACCATGGCAAAGAAAAGGGAGGTTGTATTTGAATAGTTATTTATCTTTTGATGGAGTCCATTTAAACATCACTTGTGTTGTCTCACTGTTAGTTATCTCGTTTGGCATTAATAATCATCAACATTGCTGTGGCGAACCGGCAGTTTTATGTACTTATGAAGCTCTGACTGTAACCTTGTTTGAATTGCCCCTCTACATGATTTTAATCTACTCCTGACTGTGTTGTCTGTGGCTATGGTATCGTTCATTGTATAGGATAAAGAGATCTCTTTGGTCTTGAACCCCTGTCATGTCAACCACTTCTTGACTTGAACTCAAAGTCCTGGATTTGACTTGGACTTTTACTGGTGTGGTCCTAATTACAACCCTGACGTAACAGCAGGATGTCTGCCAGGCTGTCCAGTTAGGGCTGGTTGATTGGTCGGGTTGGAGAAGATCAGTGAGAACAGACGGAGGAAGTCTGCTGGAGTTGCCCGGGCTTGTTCTTTTGAGCGTGGCGTTCTTGGACCAGTGTGAAATCTCTGTTTGATTTTGGTGATCCGACTGTGCAGAACTGGCAGGCAAGCGGGCAGGCAGGAAGCCTCCCCACCCCCTAGACCGGCTGTGCTCCTTTCCATGGTTAATTATAGCAGTGTCAGTGGAAGAAGAGGATGAAGAGGGCATGGAGACAGGTAGAGGGAGAGGGCACGGAGCTAGATGGTGAATGTAAGAGACAGATGGTGAGATGAGGAGAGAGAGGCTCATAGAGAATGAGATTGTAGTGAGATTCAGAGTGTAGTGTGAAGTGTGATTTTGTTGTCTCGTCTTCATCTGTGAATATCACAAGTCATCTTTGATCTTGAAAACTAACATCAGATGACATGGACCACAAAGACAGCATCATTGTGATTGGACAGTCACTTCAGGCAGTGCACCAGAAATAGTTGCTTGTTCCTCCGGATCCCTTTCTAGCACACCATGTCTCGATCATAGTTTCGCTGACAATGCACTACAGCCAGAGAGCAGCTCCTTTGCCTCAGGTAGGTTGTGCAGACACACACACACACAC